GTGGCCTGTGAACTGTCCTGGCACGTGCGAGGGAGGACGCCAGGGTGGGGGCAGGAGGCAGCTCCTGGGACATCTGGAGCCACGGGTAGGAGAGCGATGGCAAAGGACTGGCCGGGGGTGGTGTGACCCATGCACACCTCCTGAGAGGGCGATGAGGAGGAGCCAGACCCAGGACCCGGAGCCTGTCATGGCCATCGGAGGATGCTGCGATGGAGGTGGGGGAGGCGCACAGTGGGTGAGAGTGGAGGACCCACTGGAGTGGCATGGGAGCTGAGGTTGGGGCGAAGTCTAGGACCAGGCAAAGCCACTCTCAAGCTGTGCTCCTGGGGAACACGTCTGCAGCATCGGGGTACACTGGGAGACATTGTAATCTGACCTGGGGTCAATCAGCAACCGGGGAGGGGCAGAGGACAGAGCAGGTGCTGGTCCTCAGCCTGATGCGCAGCAGGTGGCCTGAGCGCGCTTAGAGAGCCTCCCAGCCTTGCCCCCGCCCAGCCCAGCCATCAGGCTCTGCAGGGTGGCCGGCATCGGGATGCTTGGAAGCAGCAGGCGATTCAGACGGACAGCACAGGAGCACCGGGGCCTCTGAGACATTCTCTGTCACCTCTGTGGCATTCATGTCCTCCGAGGTATCGGTCCTTTCTGCCTGTGTTTTCTGAATGTGAACTGCTGGCCGCACCCCTGTGGGCACCTCAGAACATGAGGCTGGGCCTACTTAGCAAACACCGGACACCTACGGAAGCCGGACCATGCGGGCCAGGGCCAGGAATCCAACCAGTATGCTTTTCTTTTTTAAAGAAACTCTAGAAAAAATATTACAGTGTCATTCAGGAGACGAGTGTGAGAACACATTTTGTACGACACAGGAAATGGCATAATTTTGGATGTTTTACTGAAGAGACTGAAAGGGTAAGGCCAGGCCCTTGCAGAGAGGGCGGTCGACTCCGCCCAGGCCGCCTGGCCTGCTAGTGTCCACTCCCACCAGAAATGGGTTAGGACGCTTCTGGAAACGGGGGCCCGGCCTCCTTTAGTTCAGCAGCTGCCTGGTAAGTTTGCCCAAGGGTAAGAGTGCTGGCAAGTTTAGCTTTTGCATGCTTTCTAGGCCCACAACAGGTATTGGAATCCAGTCAGAAGGCAGCCCAGCAATATCAGGAGTGAAATTTCTATGATAGGCACTGGATCCTTTCTTCACCCCAGCTTTCCCATTTGCAGCGAATCTACCCAGTGCCGGCCAGGGGCTTGTCCAATGTTTTACAACCCTAGCTCACCTAACCCATGAAACTGCTACCTGAACCCAGCACTGAACCCTTCGGCTGCTCGCCGCGAAGGCCGAGACCCGAGACCCGAGTGTTAGGGGA